TATGTATGCCAAAGGATTTTTTTAACATAGCTTACAAAAATTGTTATTTTGTAGGCTAACCAATAAAATTTTGCAATTCTAAGAAAAAAACACAGTATGTATCCTTGGGGAAAAATAGTAAGCATTATTATATGTAGAATATAGATAGGTTACTGCTGCATATATTTTCAGAAAATAGATTTTCCTATTTATACATTTCGTATTTTGCTAGCAGTAGGTAATCTTAGTTAAAACGTTTTCTTTTAGTATAAGCATCATGCTATTCATATATTATGAAACAAAAATCTTATGAATAATATGTATTTTTTTTTTTAATAATCAAATGTTAGTACATATACATTCAATTATAGTATTAATATTTTCAAAAAAATGACTATATTAATTAAAATTAAAATTTTAAATATGTACAATTATATAAGAATAATTTGTCAATTTAAGTGCGTATGTAAATAATACTGCTTTATGAATTTTACTTAGTTTTATGAAAAAGATACATTTTATAAGATATATTTGTGTACAATCACACAGAATATTTATTTATTTTTTTAATCCTAAAATAATGAAAATAAATTTAGCAAACTTTTATATAAAATAATTAATTTAAAATTTAGATGTATTTTGTATTTTAAATTTAAAAATTACAATATTATATCAATATTTATGATATGCTATATTTTAAAATTATATTTATATTTTATACATGCAATTAAAGTTAAACATAACACACCTAAAGGTAAGCATTAAGCAGTTTCCTGTTTTGTCTTATTACAGTGTTAGTAAAATATGTTAATTATGAATAATTGATATTCAAATTCATAGAGTTAAGCTTTCTACGAGAAAATTTACATTCAGTCTATTTAAGTGAGTACAATGTGTTAATGTATGTAGTACATACTTACATACTATAGTTGTAGTATAGTTAAATATGTACTTTATAAAAATTAATAATCTTTATAAAATGTAGTTTGTAAGTTACAACATTTGTTTTTCAAAAGTCAATTTAAACAATACATTCTTTTGAATACAGTCTTTGAACAAAATCTAATCTTTAATACAGTCATAGATATAGCGTTAAATTGAAAATATAAAAAGATCACTATTGGTATAGTTTTAAACCAAAATACTAGTCCTGAACCTTATTAAATGGGTCGAAAGTTCAATGTAAAGTGACTTTAAAATGCTGTCAATCCCTTAATCCTCGCGGTAATTAAAAAATTATGTGTTATCCAACGTGGAAATGTTAAACTGTAAACACGTTTAATACAATACCAATGGAAAATCCGTTCTCTTATTGATTTTTTAATTTTAATTTTATTCATTTTTATGAATAATAAATACACTAAGCTTATAATACAAAAAACTTAAATAGAAACATATATGATAAATATTTGTACATTTTTATTATTTAACTATTGATTTTAATTAATCTTAAAAATATATACTTATTTTATTACCAATAATTTGTCTGACATAAAATAACTGTATAGCCAAAGTGGTAATATACTTAATACCATACTAACTATGGTCGTAGTAAATAAAAAAATACAATACTATATATATATATATATATCATTATAAAAACTATAATAATATTATATATAATAAAAAATTTATCTAAGTCATAACTATTTGGTAGTTAATATTGAACAAAAATCACATAATCGCTTAATATACTAATTTTGATGTTTATGATAAACAAAATTTCACTTTTTATAAATATTACGTACCATTCTTTTATATCTATTTGTTTTTATTTGTTTTAATAAAGCTAATAAGAGATTATCATATTCAATAAAGTATTTTTTTTTTATTTAAACGAATTCAAAAAAATATACATGGGAAGTATGGTTATACATATACATAATATTATAGTAAAGTATAAAACGGCTTATGTTCAACTGTTATTTTACATAAGTTTAAAAAGTTAAATATCTTTTAAATTAATAACTTGCATGAACATTTACATAAATTTTTATTTTTATTTAAACAACATAAACTGCACTGAAAATATTACTGCTTGATTCTCAAGCATACATTTTCATATACATTTTATCGGTATATGAGAATCCACGAATGTTTTCTTACAAAATTATGGTTTGTAATAAAATTTAGATTTGATAAAGACATAATAAGTAAATAAAACATATTTTGAAAGGATAAGGTAAGATTTTTATTTAATATTTATTGTTTTAAATGAACTAACATTTTCTTCAACCTTTAGACAAACCAACTATGGTTGAAATATGCCTTTAAAACGCATCCCAAAGTACCTAACTTTATATTTTCTGTTCAATATTAAAAATCCCGAGTAAAATAAAACCTCGGTTGACATGATGTAGTTCTTCCGAGTTATAGTAAAGTTTATTAAAAATGAAATAATACATTTTTTAAATTAAAATACGTGTATAATATTTTTTATTCTTCTTTTATTAAATTTAGAATCTTTATTAAACCAAAACAGATAACAAACTTGCCTCATTATGTATAAATATAAATTTATTTTATATTTTATCAAAAATCAGTCAACTAAAATAAAACATTTTTATTGTATACAAAAATATAACAAAACTTCTTTCTCTTAAAATATAGTAAAATCGTGTAATTATAATATTCTATAGATCATAATATAATTTGGTTTTAAATAAATTGATGTATTTAGAGTATTTAAACTCTATGTTTCTATTACAAGTATGTCTAAAGGAGATAGTAAATTCCTAGAATCAAAGAAACATCGGCTACTAGGCCCCATTAGTTATAATATTACATTTTATTATTATGTTTTTATTATTTAAGATTTATTTTTTGATTAAATAAAGAAAAAATAAATAAATAGAAAATAATAGTAAAATAGCATCAATACATTTTATTTATTTATTTCAAGTGAATTATCATATTATAAGGTTATTCATAATTATTTTAAAATAGTTTATGTTATTCGTGATATTAAATTATATTATCATCTAGTCATCTAAATTAAGTTATGTATTTTAGTTTAATATTTAAATGAAAATTATATACATAGAGGTATTTAAACATTTTTGATCGTAAAAGAAAAATCATGTTTTGCAATTATACAAAAAATTAAAATGAATTTGTAGATAGAAATACAGTAAATTAAAAAATATATATAAACATGTTTTTAAACCTAATAATCATTTAGAAGTATTTAGTTTTTGATAAAATTATTAATTTCATTAACTAATGAACTCTCACTTTGAAAGTATCTTGTCGTTGTAATGTATTTATTATTATATAGATACTTATAAAAATCTAGAATATCTCACTTTGAACACATTATTTTTAAAGATTGTTTTCTGAAAGAACTTGGCATACGTCATATTAAACTGTTGCTCTTTTATACAGAAACACTTTTCATACATTTCATTTGTATTGTTATTGTTGCTCATGCGGAAAAAGAAATACTATTTTAAGATTTTTTTATGATTTTACTTCTGCTTTAAGAACAAAAATATATATATATATTATAATTGTATTTTTGTTCTAGTGGTTGGCCACTTTCATCTCTTGTTTGAGCATCATGTCTAATAATTGGATATTTATATGTTTAAGTATCATATATTACATTTAAGTATGGATATTTTAATTATGTTAAAATTAAAAATCGGATATACTTTGATTTTTTTTTAGTCATATTCGTATTACTAATCTCATAGACAACTCATAGATCTATGTATACAGAAACAAATTGAATTAAAGGACGATAATTATTTTAATATGATGTATCTTAATAATAATAATCCTAAAATAAATTTAACTTTAACTTGAATTTTTTTTCTTTTTGATACTTAAAAACCATGTGTGTAAAGTCATATAAAATCCTATATCTTAAAACAATAAATATACCTATCAATTGCGAAAGTTATATTATTTTCTATAATAATTTCATTTGATAATATAATTTATCACTGTAACTGTGAATTATTAAATGATATTATAGAAGCGTGTGGCTATAATCGGACGAGGGAGAAAAGGTGACTAGCAAAATATTCGTAAACTAAACAATTCGAAATCATTAATGGTTGTAAATGCAACAAAAACCAATCGATTGTAAATAATTATTGATCATAATAAATATGGTAGGTATACTACTAGGCCACTATAGGGTCATGCTATAGTATTTGGATTATATAATATCAAAATAAATAGTGTTTAATGACTTTGAGCTATGAACTCGAAGCGATTAAAGCGTTCACTTAGTCGTCGTAAATCAGAATATACGTATTCTACTATACATTGGGTGGGTGAAAAGTAAGGTGAGGGTAATGGGTCAAGCGTCGTCATCACAGCGTTCGTCAACAAATCCGACCAAATAAAACTAGAAAAAAAGAGAGAGAGAGAAAGAGAGAGAGAGATAAAGAGAGAAAAAAAGAAGAAAAAAAAGCGTTTCGACGGGCGTTGGTGAGTGGCGGCCAGTGACGTAGTGAGTGATATACTTATATAATACTGCGCGGGCGAGGCAAAACGTTTAAACACCTAAGCCCGCAAGGTCCGCACGAATGCGCCCGTTTAGATCTCAGTGTTTATTATATTAACGTTCACCACTACGCCACCGATGATGGCGGTTTGGAGGAACGGGAACGTACGTACAACATACTAATAACATTATCATACCGCGGGCATGACGCGTGCCCGAGGACACCGGGGGGGTGTGATATACGGATAAATTCTATAGGCACAGGTTTTGTGACGGTATTTAATGTTATAATAATATGCGCTCACTCAATGATGTCAATAATAATAACGATATAATGTGCGTGATGACTTGCCGAGTAAAAAAAAATTAAAAAAAAAACAAAACGAAACGAAAATTCGAAACGACAGAGAAGAAAAAGTATGATGATAATAATAATAATAATAATAATAACAACAACAACAACCACTCCTAACGTGTTTTTTTTTTCACATATATAATATATATATATATATTTATTTATTGTTTTTATCGTATTTATAAATTATTGCACTTATTGTTTTCCAACCTGTCGAAATTGTCTGATCGCGCCGTTTATCCGCAGCGAGTCGGCCGCGATCATGGCTATGTTGTCGGCCGGGTCGCGGAGCTGTCGCAGCGACGAGCTGGGCTGATGGTGGATGTTGTGGCAACAGTGTCCCGAGCACATGGACGCGCTGCCGGTGGCCTCGGGCTGCGAGCTCTGCCTGATGATCCGCGAGCTGGGCGACGTGGTGAGCAGGACGGGCGGCGGCGGTGACAGTCCGTAAGCGGACCCGACGCCGCCGCCGCCGATCGAG